GGCTCCTGATTGTACGAAAAATCACGTTTTTAGCTTGTTGACCCTATAGAAGTCATAATTTTTATCCGATTTAAAAACCCACATTATTATATCACCGTTACACCCTAAGGATGACTGAGTTCGAATTTCGTGAAAATCGACTCAAAATTGGCAGACAGAATGGCCGCCGTTCGTTCTCAAATAGCGTAAGAATATGGTATATCAAGGTTGTGGACCCTATAGAGGTCACAATTTTTATCCGATTTTGTTGAAACTTAAAATGTAAGTTTATAATCCAAAGATTTTGGTTCCTTTCAATATTCGCGCATATCGGACCATAACTTCCTGAATAATGGCCCCTGATTGTACGAAAAATCGCGTTTTTAGCTTGTGGACCCTATAGAAGTCATAATTTTTATCTGATTTAAAAAAACGTATTATTATATCACCGTTACACCCTAAGGACGACTGAGTTCAAATTTCGTGAAAATCGGCCCAAAATTGACAGACAAAATGGCCGCCGCTCGTTCCCAAATAGCGTAAAAATATGGTATATCAAGGTTGTGGACTCTATAGGTCACAATATTTATCTGATTTTGTTGAAACTTGAAATGTAAGTTTATAACCCAAAGATTTCGGTTCCTTTCGATATTCGCGCATAACTTCCTGAATAATGGCCCCTGATTGTACGAAAAATCGCTTTTTAGGTTGTGGACCCTATAGAGGTCATAATTTTTATCCGATTTAAATAAAATATTATTATATCACCGTTACATCCTAAGGACAGATGAGGTCGAATTTCGTGACAATCGGCTCAAAATTGACAGACAAAATGGCCGCCGTCCGTACTCAAATAGCGTAAAAATATGGTATATCAAGGTTGTGGACCCCATAGAGGTCACAATTTTTATCCGGTTTTGTTGAAACTCGAAATGTAAGTTTATACCCAAAGATCTTGGTTCCTTTCGATATTCCCATATATCGGACCGTAACTTCCCGAATTATGGCCCCTGATTTTACGAAAAATCGCGTTTTTAGCTTGTGAACCCTCTAGAGGTCATAATTTTTATCCGATTTAAAAAAAATATTATTATATCACTGTTACACCCTAAAGACGGCTGAATTTGAATTCTGTGAAAATCAGCCCAAAATTGACAGACAAAATGGCCGCCGTTCGTTCCCAAATAGCGTAAAAATATGGTATATCAAGGTTGTGGATCCTATAGAGGTCACAATTTTTATCCGATTTTGTTGAAACTTGAAATGTAAGTTTACAACCCAAAGATCTCGGTTCCTTTATATATTCCACATATCAGACCGTAACTTCCTGAAATATGGCCCTGATTGTACGAAAAATCGCGTTTTTAGCTTGTGGACCCTATAGAGAGGTCATAATTTTTATCTGATTTAAAAAATCGTATTATTATATCACCGTTACCCCCTAAGGATGGCGGAGTTCGGATTTTGTGAAAATTGGCCCAATTTTGTCGGACAAAATGGCCGCCGTTCTTTCTCAAATAGCGTAAAAATATGGTATATCAAGGTCGTGGACCCTATAGACGTCACAATTTTTTATCCGATTTTGTTGAAACTTGAAATGTAAGTTTATGACCCAAAGATCTCATTTCCTATTGATATTCGCGCATATCGGACCGTAACTTCCTGAATTATAGCCCCTGATTGTACGAAAAATCGCGTTTTTAGCTTGTGGACCCTATAGAGGTCATAATTTGTATCCAATTTAAAAAACTGTACTATTATATCACTGTTGCACCCTAAGGACGACTGAATTCGAATTTCGTGAAAATCAACCCAAAATTGACAGACAAAATGGCCACCGTTCGTTCTCAAATAGCGTAAAAATATGGTATATCAAGGTTGTGGACCCTATAGAGGTCGCAATTTTTATCTGATTTTGTTGAAACTTGAAATGTAAGTTTATAACACAAAGATCTCATTTCCTTTCGATATTCGCGCATATTGAATTGTAATTTCCTGAATTATGGCCCTTGATAGTAGGAAAAATCACTTTCTTGTTAGCTTGTTCTCTATCCATCTCTCGAAAATGTGGGCGTATCCTGCCTGGCAGCCGCTGGTTTCATTCTGCTCTACATATATATCACATATAATTTTTCACAGTATTCATGTTACAAGTGCCTCGAAGATAAAAAGGATTAATGATCTTTCTGAGAGAGAATTTTCAGAATATATCAGAAAGGGTGAAGGTATTATTAATTAAAAAAAAAACGTCTGTTCTGAATGCATTTGCATTCACCGAATCTTTTGCCTGTTTGATGTTGAGAACCTGCGTTTTAATTTCAAATTATAATTGAATCCCCCAATTTGATTTAATTGTCCCCCACCTTTTGAAGAAATGGGTCTGTCCGTCAGTCTGTCTGTCCGTCACACTTTTTGGGACACAATAACTAATTGAGTGTAGGTGTTCATTAGGTGCATGCCTTGACTGAGTTTGGTGATGAGCATTTTCTGCTTGGGTAAGTAGAGACTTCAATCTGATTGGTTGAGACTTTGGAACACAATAACTCCCCTTCTAATTGTGGTAGAATGTTCAAACTTCGTGTAGGTGTTTATTAGGTGCATGCCTTGACAAAATTCGGTGATGAGCATTTTCTGCTTAGGGTAAGCAGAGATAAGCAATTTGATTGGTTGAGGCTTTGGGACACGATAACTTTGATTCCAATTAAGTGAGAGTAATGAAACTTGGTGTATAGTTTCATAAGATCAATACCTTTACTAAGTTCGATAATGAGCATTTTCTGCTTGGGGTAAGCAGAGTGATAAGCAATTTGATCCAGACTTTGGAGCTCGATAACTTTCATCCTAATTGATAGAGAGAGGTGAAACTTGGTATATAGATTCATAACATCAATACCTTGACTAAGTTCGATGGTGAGCAGTTTCTGCTTAGGCTCAGTAGAGACTTCAATCTGAGTGGTCGAGACTTTGGAACACAATAACTCCACTTCTAATTGTGGTAGAATGTTGAAACTTCGTGTAGGTGTTTATTAGGTGAATGCCTTGACAGAGTTCAGTGAAGAGCATTTTCCACTAAGGGTAAGCAAAGATAAGCAATTTGATTTTTCAAGACTTTGAAGCTCGATAACTTTGATTCTAATTGAGTGAGAGAGGTGAAACTTTGTGTATAGTTTCATTACATCAATACCTTGACTATGTTCGATGCAAATTTTCTGCTGAGGCTAAGTAATGATAAGCAATTTGACTGGTTCAAGACTTTGGAACATAACAACTCTGCTTTTAATTGAGGTAGAATGTTCAAATTTTGTGTAGATGTTTATTTAGTGAATGTCTTGAATGAGTTCACTGATTAACATTTTCCACTAAACAGAGCTAAGCAATATTATTGGTCTATGCTTTGGGACACGATAACTTTGATTCTAATTGAGGGAGAGTGATGAAACTTGGTGTATAGTTTCACTACATCAAAACCTTGAATAAGTTCAATCATGAGCATTTTATGCTTAGACAAAGTATAGATAAGCAGTTTGGTTACTCGATGCTTTATAAAAAGATCAATGTGCAATTAATTAATGTGTCATCTATTTATTTTGGGATTTCGGCGGGGGACATCTGCCTCACTGTTGGCTTGTTTTCTTTATTTTATATTTGTTTTGGTTTGTTCTGTTTACCTTTTCAATATGCCAAAAAGTATTTGGCATGTCTTTCAATATTTAAAAAGGAACAAGACAGACAAATCAGTTGCAATAAACTAATTGAGGCGTTTTTCTCCTTAAATGAGACACAATAGTTAATTTAGAAAAATATTCTTGATCAATTTCTTGACTTCTTGTACATGTATAATCATGTGAGATTTTTTAATGATAATCCTGGTCTCAAATTTAAAAAAAAAAAAATAAATTTTTTTTACGGATGATCTGTCTTGTTCCTCTTGTTAGTGTTACCATATTTCATTTGGATGAAAGATAATTATCTGGGATGGGACATACAAATAAATTACCGGTAGTTGATAGTCACTATGTCACAGTAACGGTAGCCTATAGGGAGTTCAAATTTGCAAAGGTATTTCAAAATTGACATGACATGTATATTACAAGTCAAAATTTCATAGGAAATCGCAGCATTTTAGTGATACAAAGTAGAGCTGGAGTTTCTACCTCTCCACTTACTTAGTGGTAAATTCTGTTTATTTTCAGAAAAACTGAAGAAAACTAACAGACTAAGACATCTGTTAGTAAAATTCACCAGTGATGTTAGTTTAATCGAAATAAAGGATTTCAACAGCCAAGACTATCTAGATGAATTGGTTCAGAAAATTGAATGCAAGCCTTACAATAAATTATTTGCAACAGATGATGATGATGATTCACTACCACCCCCACAAGCTGAAGAGAGAGAGATCAAGCCCATTCCTCCATCTTCACAAACCAGGATGATTGATGATGATGATCCACTACCACCCTCACAAGAGCCCATTCCTCCATCGTCACAAACCAGGATGACTTATGATGATGATCCACTACCATCCTCACAAGTTAAACCGACAGAGGTCAAACCAATTCCTCCATCTTCCCAAACCAGAATGATTGCTGATGATGATGAAGAGGATGATCTACTACCACCCTCTCAATCTAATCGGAGAGAGATAAAGACCATTCGTCCATCTTCACAAACCAGGTTGATGGATGATGAGGAATCACTACCACCTTCACAAGCTAAACCGACAGAGGTCAAACCCATTACTCAATCTTCAAAAACCTGGATGATTGATGATGATGATCCACTACCACCTTCACAAGCTAAACCGACAGAGGTCAAACCCATTCCTCCATCTTCACAAACCTGGATGATTGATGATGATGATCCACTACCACCTTCACAAGCTAAACCGACAGAGGTCAAACCCATTCCTCCATCTTCACAAACCTGGATGATTGATGATAATGATCCACTACCACCTTCACAAGCTAAACCGACAGAGGTCAAACCCATTCCTCCATCTTCACAAACCTGGATGATTGATGATGATGATCCACTACCCCCATCACAAGCTAAACCGACAGAGGTCAAACCAATTCCTCCATCTTCACAAACTAGTGTGGTTGATCATGATGAAGAAGATGATCCACCACCACCCACACAAGCTAAACGGAGAGAGGTCAAGGCCATTCCCTCATCTTCACAAACCTGGTGGATTGATAATGATGAAGAAGATGATCCACTACCACTCACACAAGCTAGAGGGAGAGAGGTCAAACCAATTCCTCCATCTTCACAAACTAGTGTGATTGATCATGATGAAGAAGATGATCCACTACCACCCACACAAGCTAAACGAAGAGAGATCAAGGCCATTCCCTCATCTTCACAAACCTGGATGATTGATGATGATCCACTACCACCATCACAAGCTAAACGGAGAGTGATCAAGCGCATTTCTCCATCTTCACATACCTGGATGATTGATGATGATGATCCACTACCACCATCACAAGCTAAACCGACAGAGGTCAAACCAATTCCTCCATCTTCACAAACTAGCATGATTGATCATGATGAAGAAGATAATCCACTACAACCCACACAAGCTAAACGGAGAGGGATCAAGGCCATTCCCTCATCTTCACAAACCTGGATGATTGATCATGGTGAAGAGGATGATCCACTTCCACCCACACAAGCTAAACCGAGAGCGATCAAGGCCATTTCCTCATCTTCACAAACCAGGTTGATTGATGATGAGGAATCACCCTCACAAGCTAAACGGAGAGGGATCAAGGCCATTCCTCCATCTTCACAAACCTGGATGATTGATGATTATGATCCACTACCACCCACACAAGCTAAACGGAGAGAGATCAATGCAATTCCCTCATCTTCACAAACTAGTGTGATTAATCATGATGAAGAAGATGATCCACTACCACCCACACAAGCTAAACGGAGAGCGATCAAGCCCATTCCTCCATCTTCACAAACTAGTGTGATTGATCATGATGAAGAAGATGATCCACTACCACCCACACAAGCTAAACGGAGAGGGATCAAGGCCATTCCCTCATCTTCACAAACCTGGATGATTGATGATGATGATGAAGAGGATGATCCACTACCACCCTCACAAGCTAAACAGAGAGCAATCAAGCCCATTCCGCCATCTTCACAAACCTGGATGATTGATGATGATGATCCACTACCACCATCACAAGCTAAACCGACAGAGGTCAAACCAATTTCTCCATCTTCACAAACCTGGATGATTGATGATTATGATCCATTACCACCCACACAAGCTAAACGGAGAGAGATCAAGGCAATTCCCTCATCTTCACAAACTAGTGTGATTGATCATGATGAAGAAGATGATCCACTACCACCCACACAAGCTAAACGGAGAGCGATCAAGCCCATTCCTCCATCTTCACAAACTAGTGTGATTGATCATGATGAAAAAGATGATCCACTACCACCCACACAAGCTAAACGGAGAGCGATCAAGCCCATTCCTCCATCTTCACAAACTAGTGTGATTGATCATGATGAAAAAGATGATCCACTACCACCCACACCAGCTAAACGGAGAGGGATCAAGGTCATTCCTCCATCTTCACAAACCTGGATGATTGATGATTATGATCCACTACCACCCACACAAGCTAAACGGAGAGAGATCAAGGCAATTCCCTCATCTTCACAAACCTGGATGATTGATGATGATCAAGAGGATGATCCACTACCACCCTCACAAGCTAAACGGAGAGCAATCAAGCCCATTCCTCCATCTTCGCAAACTAATGTGATTGATCATGATGAAAAAGATGATCCACTACCACCCACACCAGCTAAATGGAGAGGGATCAAGGCCATTCCTCCATCTTCACAAACCTGGATGATTGATGATTATGATCCACTACCACCCACACAAGCTAAACGGAGAGAGATCAAGGCAATTCCCTCATCTTCACAAACCTGGATGATTGATGATGATCAAGAGGATGATCCACTACCACCCTCACAAGCTAAACGGAGAGCAATCAAGCCCATTCCTCCATCTTCGCAAACTAGTGTGATTGATCATGATGAAAAAGATGATCCACTACCACCCACACCAGCTAAACGGAGAGGGATCAAGGCCATTCCTCCATCTTCACAAACCTGGATGATTGATGATTATGATCCACTACCACCCACACAAGCTAAACGGAGAGAGATCAAGGCAATTCCCTCATCTTCACAAACTAGTGTGATTGATCATGATGAAGAAGATGATCCACTACCACCCACACAAGCTAAACAAAGAGCGATCAAGCCCATTCCTCCATCTTCACAAACTAGTGTGATTGATCATGATGAAAAAGATGATCCACTACCACCCACACCAGCTAAACAGAGAGAGATCAAGGCAATTCCCTCATCTTCACAAACTAGTGTGATTGATCATGATGAAGAAGATGATCCACTACCACCCACACAAGCTAAACGGAGAGCGATCAAACCCATTCCTCCATCTTCACAAACTAGTGTGATTGATCATGATGAAAAAGATGATCCACTACCACCCACACCAGCTAAACGGAGAGGGATCAAGGCCATTCCTCCATCTTCACAAACCTGGATGATTGATGATTATGATCCACTACCACCCACACAAGCTAAACGGAGAGAGATCAAGGCAATTCCCTCATCTTCACAAACCTGGATGATTGATGATGATCAAGAGGATGATCCACTACCACCCTCACAAGCTAAACGAAGAGCAATCAAGCCCATTCCTCCATCTTCACAAACCTGGATGATTGATGATGATGATCCACTACCACCATCACAAGCTAAACCGACAGAGGTCAACCCAATTTCTCCATCTTCACAAACCTGGATGATTGATGATTATGATCCACTACCACCCACACAAGCTAAACAGAGAGAGATCAAGGCAATTCCCTCATCTTCACAAACCTGGATGATTGATGATGATCAAGAGGATGATCCACTACCACCATCACAAGCTAAACTGACAGAGGTCAAACCAATTCCTCCATCTTCACAAACTAGTGTGGTTGATCAGGATGAAGAAGATGATCCACCACCACCCACACAAGCTAAACGGAGAGAGGTCAAGGCCATTCCCTCATCTTCACAAACCTGGTGGATTGATAATGATGAAGAAGATGATCCACTACCACCCACACAAGCTAAACGGAGAGCGATCAAGCCCATTCCTCCATCTTCACAAACTAGTGTGATTGATCATGATGAAGAAGATGATCCACTACCACCCACACAAGCTAAACGGAGAGGGATCAAGGCCATTCCCTCATCTTCACAAACCTGGATGATTGATGATGATGATGAAGAGGATGATCCACTACCACCCTCACAAGCTAAACGGAGAGCAATCAAGCCCATTCCGCCATCTTCACAAACCTGGATGATTGATGATGATGATCCACTACCACCATCACAAGCTAAACCGACAGAGGTCAAACCAATTTCTCCATCTTCACAAACCTGGATGATTGATGATTATGATCCACTACCACCCACACAAGCTAAACGGAGAGAGATCAAGGCAATTCCCTCATCTTCACAAACTAGTGTGATTGATCATGATGAAGAAGATGATCCACTACCATCCACACAAGCTAAACGGAGAGGGATCAAGGCCATTCCCTCATCTTCACAAACCTGGATGATTGATGATGATGATGAAGAGGATGATCTACTACCACCACCCTCACAAGCTAAACAGAGAGCAATCAAGCCCATTCTGCCATCTTCACAAACCTGGATGATTGATGATGATGATCCACTACTACCACCATCACAAGCTAAACCGACAGAGGTCAACCCAATTTCTCCATCTTCACAAAACTGGATGATTGATGATTATGATCCACTACCACCCACACAAGCTAAACGGAGAGAGATCAAGGCAATTCCCTCATCTTCACAAACCTGGATGATTGATGATGATCAAGAGGATGATCCACTACCACCCTCACAAGCTAAACGGAGAGCGATCAAGCCCATTCCTCCATCTTCACATACCTGGATGATTGATGATGATCCACTACCACCATCATCTTCACAAACCTGGATGATTGATGATGATGATGAAGAGGATGATCTACTACCACCACCCTCACAAGCTAAACGGAGAGCAATCAAGCCCATTCTGCCATCTTCACAAACCTGGATGATTGATGATGATGATCTATTACTACCACCATCACAAGCTAAACCGACAGAGGTCAACCCAATTTCTCCATCTTCACAAACCTGGATGATTGATGATTATGATCCACTACCACCCACACAAGCTAAACGGAGAGAGATCAAGGCAATTCCCTCATCTTCACAAACCTGGATGATTGATGATGATCAAGAGGATGATCCACTACCACACTCACAAGCTAAACGGAGAGCGATCAAGCCCATTCCTCCAACTTCACATACCTGGATGATTGATGATGATCCACTACCACCATCACAAGCTAAACAGAGAGAGATCAAACCAATTTCTCCATCTTCACAAAACAGGCAGTCCTCTTCACTGCAATCTGAAATCCTAGATGATGATAAGGACTCTTTTATATCGGACGAAATGTTTGATGATTCACGGGACAGTGATTTTGTTTTGAATTCCAATTCAGAGTCTGATTCTAGTGATGTTGTCCCAATAATTGACATAGGTGCTTTTAAAACTGTAAAAAATGATCAAAATGACAAGATATTCTTTAAAGATATGCCCTTGGTTTACTTCAGAGGGATCCAAAGAACAAAAGTGGGTAAAAATGGACAAATTAAAAAAAGTGACCGCGTTTTTAGTAACAAGCATAGCTGTTTATATTGTGGAATTCTTGTTTGTAAACCAGTCGATCATATGGAGAGAAAACATGGTGATGAAAAAGAGATAGCCGATCTTCTTGAGTTAAAGCCAAAGAAAACTGACAGTTCTCAAGTGCGTAAGAAAAAAAATTCTGTTCGCCAAAAACAGCTGGAAACTTTACGTAATCGTGGCAATCATAGACATAACATGGAAGTCAAGCATTCAGGTGAGGGTGAGATCATACCTTTAAGAAGACCACCAGGAAAAGGAGTATTTTATTTGTCTAGATTTGGGCCTTGTCCAAATTGTTATGGATGGATAAGTGACCAGTCGAAGCATCGATATCGCTGTGTAGCTAAGGGTAAAGATATCGAAAGTAAGAGTAGCTTGACTGTAAAAAGTAATCTACTTATGGGACTGTATGAAAGAGCATCCACCACCCTGACAAAAGAAGTATTACAAACTATGGTAGTTGATGATTGCTCCAAAGTTGCTACAAGTGATCCTCTAATTATGGAATTGGGTGATGTGTGGTTGCGAAAATCTTGCAAAAACAAACTGAGGCGTGCAAATTACACCAGCACAAGAATGAGAGCTGCAGCTCGTCTTTTAATGGAGTGTAGAAAACTGGATGAAAATAAGAAGACAATGATTGACTTTATATCTCCATCTTCATTTGAAACTGTCATCAAGGCCACTATTAATGTTGCAGGGGGTGAAGAATACAATTTAAATAAACCCTCCACAGCTTTAAAGATTGGGCATGACCTCCAAAGAATGGCCAATATAAAAGAAACAAAAGGAATTATTTCTAAACATGAAGAGCATGTCCTAGACGCCAAGAATTTTAATAAATTACTTAAGAAAAACTGGAATCAACGAATAAGTTCAATGGCATCCTCAACACTGAATGAACGCAGGTTCAATAAAATAATTGAATTACCTTCAGGACATGATTTAAATTTATTGTCAGACCATCTAAAAAAGGAGTTGTCTACGATAGAAGAAATTGGTGATAAAACAACTTTTCGACGTGCAGTTGAGTTGGTTGAAGCACGGTTACTGACGTTTAACAAGAGACGTCCAGGGGAGTTGGAAGCTATGAGGTATGTGTAGGTTTTGCAATCATCCTTCTAGTAACTTCCAAATGCACTATGTTGTGGAAAAGCAGCTTGGTGGGCACAATTTCATCTTGATTAATCTGGGATGTTTATTTTAGATATTCTGATGTCTTATGAATGTACCATCTGTATTTTGTAATGTGTACTTACATTTTGATATTTTGATTAACAAAATTATCAGAAATTATTTACTAATTGAGAATCAAATGATTGTTTTGTCTTTCTAGTGTGGAGTCATATACTGGAAGAAGAGTAGATGCTGCCCTGGATGATTTTAAAAAAGATCTGACTTCTTTTGAGCTAGAACTTTGCAAGACGTATGAAGTCGTTAATATTAGGGGAAAGAGAGGGCGAAAGGTACCTGTACTAGTACCACCAGAATGTCGCAATGTTATGGATATGATTGCCAATGAAGATGTTAGAGAGCTAGCAGATGTTGCCAACAGTTCATTTCTGTTTGCTAATTTTGGTTAGTACTTCTGAATATCTTGATTTATACATGTCTTGGTACATTGGGTTCCTTTCTGTCAATTAATATTTTTCCTTCTTGTGTCAACCATTCCTTATGAGAGGCTAATTTGCATATTAAAATGGTTCATCTGTTATTTTCCAAGTGCTAGTGTTTCCAGTTAGATAAATCTTTGATAATACATACTCACTATCCCTATAATATGAAAGCATTTCAATACAGTTCCAGATCAAACAGTTTGACTGCTGGTAAATGTATGAACATTGTGATCTCCTCTTTAACTACTTCTAGGTAAAGGAGCTGTACGTGCTTATGATGCGTTAGAGAATGTCTTGAGTGAATTAAAGCTAGAAAATGCTAGTTTTATCAAATCAACACTACTAAGGAAATACATTGCTACAACAACACAGGTAAGTCAGACCTGGAATCATATGTGTATCATATGAAATTTAAAGATGCATTCCCACAAAAGCATTTATCGGGTGGTTATTTCCAATAAAAGTATGGCAATTTTGGTATATCGAAAGTAGAGACACCCAATTTTACAAGAAAAATACTGGATTCCCTGAAATACACAAATGGAGCGCGCACAGGACAAAAATAAGAGGGTGTCACTAAGTAACTGAGATTTTTTGTGTATCATATGACATTTAATAGAAGGGGCTGATCTCCGGTGTTCTTGGGCACATGGTTTGGACTTAAAAGTGAGCTCCTTCCATTCAAATACAGAATATTTCTATTTCGGTAAAATTCCCCTTATAGCCTTTGATCCAGTTTGATAAAATGTCATAATGATAACACTTAAGAAGTTTTTATTTTTATTGAATATTTGCAGGTGCTTAATATTTCTGAGAATCAACTTGGATGGATTACTAATCATTTAGGACACAACATCAACGTACATAAAGATTTTTACCGAGTTATGTCTTCCACTATTGAAAAAACGAAAGTAGCAAAATTATTATTGCTGGCAGATAGTGGTTCAATAACCAATTATTATGGGAAGACGATTGACGAAATAGATTTTGAAAGCTCTGCTGGTGGTGAGTTTTAGTCTGTAGTACCTTGTTAATCTAGATCAAACAACCCTTAATACTGATAATTACATGAGCCGAGGTGGCTCAGTGAGTAAGACCCTGGTTCACTAACCAGGAGTTCTCAGGTTCACTCCTGGTGTTGGCCGAGAAAGTTCCTTGGGATTTTCCGGCATGGTTTCCCCTTGTCAGTGGTTCAGGAGGGAGGGCCTGGCAACAAGGGGTCCAAGCAGATTCAATTGACCGACGTTAACTCCAATTAACAAAATGTTAAAGACCCATGCTGTGCACGTAAAAGAACCCCTGACAGTTGGAATTCGATATAAAAGTAGGCCGTAGCGCTGCTGTCCTGGCAAAATTTCACTCATAGCATGGCATATGCCCATCTTCATTAGCCCAGTCGGTGCAGAAAAGTAGGACGTTAAACCCCATTTCATTTCACTGATAATTACTGGGTCGAGCCATGTAACCCAGCTCCTGTTTGACAATTAAACCAAGTCCATGGTGTAATGTTTGTATAGATTTTGTTGTATAAATGGTGGATTACATCTTGAAATTATAATTTAATATTTCTATTCTTTTTCAGACTTTCTTGTGAAAGATGATGAAGAACAAGATATTGTTGATGATGAGATTAATATTAATGATAGATTACAGCCACTTGAGAAAAGAAAGAGTAGTAGTCTAGAAGTAGTTAAGAGAAAGAAACAAAAGAATGAAATTATTGAAGGTGAGAACAGAATTTAGATATTAATATCTGTGTCGCGAACTTTGATTCAAATGAAATTTTAAAAGATTTTATCTCTTGACTGACCCAGACAGTTTGACATCCAAACACCCATGTCATAACAATGACAGCATAGGTCTTTAACATTTTGTCGATTGGAGTTGACGTTGGTCAATTGAATCTGCTACGGACCCCTTGTTGGATATTCTCATGTAAGCATTGTCCAGTTTGTCTAAAATCCTGAGACCATTTGACATGGTCCACAAATTTGTCATATAAATCATAATGTTTATGTTTGACTGTTGTTATTTTGCCTTAGAACTTACAGTATGAAATGTTTATTGTCTTTTCATTCCAGGACCCACATGTAGTAACGATACACAGAGAAATATGTTGCAGATTTCAGATAATAGTAAGTAGTTTTATTCTCTTACGATGATTTCCTCTTTATGGTAAAATCATTCCATTCCTTCACCATAACTAAAAACAATGGTTACTCGTCTGGTGATACTGTGTGCATTCATTAACGAGGATATCCTCTTTAGGGTTCACTTCTTTCTATAAGGGCTCTCTCTCTCTCCCCCCCCCTCCTCAACACTTTTTTATTATCTTATCAACAAATTGATAAGGGAATTGGGGAACAAGCAAGCTGCCTATGCTAAACCCTTATCCCTTAAAACCAGAAGAAAGCTCTTTATTGTGTAAAGTGCATACAGTCCTACCTACAGACATATCTTTGACTTCACAGGAAGTTGATCTTGAACTTAAAATAATTCCCCAAAGTAGACGTATTTCGTCAGTTGTCCTTCTGCAAGACTGCTGGTTTGTGAGAATATCTGCTTTAGTTAGAATCCCATGAAGTTCTCATATGTAGAAGATATTAATTTTACACAATGTCAGCACAACATCAGTAATGACTGGACAGGGACTTTAATTCAATTTATGGTACCAAATTTATTGTAGATGATGAGATTGGATCACAGCCACTTGAGAAAAGAAAGAGTAGTAGTAGTCCAGAAGTAGGTGAGAACATAACAGAATTAAAATAATACTGTGTTTTATTTTGTGTCTTTAAATCAAAGTATATTTTGAAAATCCTAATTTTGAGCTTTAAATGAGAGAAAATGTCAAATTGGGTCAAACAGTAGACTTTCTCTTAGCATTATATCAATTGGTTGTTATGTAAGTGATTAAATATGATTGGTTAAGTTCAAATAATAAACTGCAGGAAAATTATAGGTCAAAGATCATCTTAAGACATTTAGAATATTGATTCAGAGAGTATTAAAGGGATCCCCCATCTTTAAACAAGTTGAATTGAATGCTTATTGCCTGTTCATTCCAGGAGGACCTACATGCAGTAACGATAAACAGACAAATAGGTTGGAGACTTCAGATAGTAGTAAGTAGTCTTATTCTCTTAGGATGATTTCCTCTATATTGTAAAATCATTCCATTCCTTCATCATAACTAAAAACAATGGTTACTCGTCTGGTGATACTGTGTGCAATCATTAACGAGGATATCCTCTTTAGGGTTCTGGACTATGGATTTGGAGATGACTATGCACTATTTACTTTAGAGAATTTGCCTTTAAATCAATGTAATGTAACAAAAAATCACAGATTACCCCGTCTTCTTATGAATTTGTGAGGATTATTTTTACATTGTTGGTTCAGGGCTTTCTAGATATGATTCAAAACATCATTTTTTTTCTTTTAATATTTTGTTTGCAACCACACGACCAATTTCTAGTTTGGCTGAACAACACTCAAACTTAAAAGTCTACAATATATATACTTTTTTTATCCCCATGTTTTCCTATGGAGAAATTTGAAGAAATATGGATATTTCCTTTTGATAATACTTGATAAGGAACTGTTGTGTCAGTATTTGTTCATTTTTTTGATTTCAGATGTTTGGAACAAAGAAAAGAGAGGGGCCTATAATGAAGTGTTTTTTAAACTTGTCCAATTACGAGGAAAAATGCTGAAAAAAGAAGAAATAGTATCCCTCAAAAACAAGAACCCAATTTTAAAGAAAATGACCTATGACAAAATTAAAAATAAAATAAATGCAGATGTACAGAAAATAAGACGAAATAAAGACAAAAACTAAAAATAATTTGCAGATGTACAGAAAATAAGACCAAATAAAGACAAAAACTAAAAATATTGTTTTTTAATTCTTTTGCTCTTATTCCCAAAGGTAATAGATCATGACAAAAAACGAATTTGGCTCATTAAAGAGATTAGGCTTTTAAAACTAATATGCAAAATATTTTTCTTGATGTCTTAAAATAAGAGAGAAAAACCTTTTGTAAATTTCCTATGCTAAAATATCAAAATCATATCTAGACCAAATTCTCCTATCTTATGCTCTATTACCTTATATGTCTCCATTCTAAACCGGGCCAGGGAAAGATGTCGCTTTATTTGGTAAAATATTTATTGTAATTACATAATGTTAAAAGATAGGTTTTAATGTCTGTACATCACTGGCAAGCATTGAAATGGTTAAGAACACACTTTAACTAATGCATTGCAGTGATTCATGACAAGTCAAGTATAAACTTGCTGAAAATAGTCTCGATTTCCCGTAAGTTTGGACGCTTATTCCATCAAAATTTACTGTTTTCTACATACTTTTTTTCCCCCAGGTTTATCACTACCCATTTTTATACGCCCACATTTTCATGTGGACGTATATTGTCGTCGCCCCTGTCCGTCCATGAAGAATTTAATTCTGATAATTACATGTAGATATATCATTTCCCAGGCCCAGGCAAGATTCTTTGAATGGACACAAATGATTACCAGCAAGATATCTAGAGAAGCTGGTATAAAGGAATGATCTGTATTAAGTGGATATTGTGTGTGTGGGGGGGGGGCGGGGGCGGCGGGTTGTTCATTAAAATATGGATCTGGTAAAAGATGGAATAATTGGGTATGAAATGCAGCAATTGACCGAATGGCAGTCTGAAAGGCAAAGCACATGGATGTGAGCCGAATGGTGTTTTGGGGGATTATCCTTATAACTTCCAGTTTTGCACTTAGACCGATTTTGAAAGTCAGCTCTTCAATTGAGGTCACAGGAGTGACAACCTAGATGAGCTGCACAAAATATGTGCAACATTTTCAACCAGCGGCTGCCAGGCAGGATACGCCCACATTTTCGAGAGATGGATAGAGAACAAGCTAAAAAGAAAGTGATTCTTCCTACAATCAAGGGCCATAATTGAGGAAATTACAATTCAATGTGCGCAAATATCGATAGGAACCAAGATCTTTGGGTTATAAACTTACATTTCAAGTTTCAACAAAATCGGATAAAAATTGTGACCTCTATAGGGTCCACAACCTTCATATACCATATTTTTTCGCTATTTGAAAATGAGGAGTGGCCATTTTGTCTGTCAGTTTTTGGACGATTTTCACGAAATTCGAATATCGAAATGAACCGAGATCTTTGGGTTATAAACTTACATTTCAAGTTTCAACAAAATCGGATAAAAATTGTGACCTCTATAGGGTCCACAACCTTGATATACCATATTTTTACGCCATTTGAGAACGAACGGCGGCCATTTTGTCTGTCAATTTTGATCCGATTTTCACGAAATTCGAACTCAGTCGTCATTAGGGTGTAACAGTGATATAATAATACGTTTTTTTTTAAATCGGATCAAAATTATGACCTCTATAGGTTCCACAAGCTAAAAACGAGATTTTTCTTACAATCAGGGGCCATAATTCAGGAAGTTATGGTCCGATATGCTCGAATATCGATAGGAACCAAGATCTGTGGGTTATAAACTTACATTTCAAGTTTCAACAAAATCGGATAAAAATTGTGACCTCTATAGTGTCCACAACCTTGATATACCATATTTTTACGCTATTTGAGAACGATCGGGGGCCATTTTGTCCGCCAATTTTGATCCGATTTTCACGATATGCGCGAATATCGACAGGAACCGAGATCTTTAGGTTATAAACCTACATTTCAAGTTTCAACAAAATTGGATAAAAATTGTGACCTCTATAGGGTCCATAAGCTAAAACCGTGATTTTTCGTACAAACAGGGGCCATAATCCATGAAGTTTCGATTCGATACATGCCAATATCGAAAGCAGCCGAGATCTTTTGGAGATAAACCTATATTATTATTATTATTATTATTATTATTACAGCATATTTATAGTGCACCCTTTCATATAACATGTTCAAGGGCACTTTACAAAGTGACAATGTAAATCACACATAAACAACAAGATTATGGGCATGTTAACAATTATATACAGAGTCAGTTAAAAGCCTGATTAAATAAATGTGTTTTAAGTTGTTTTTTAAAAGAATATAGAGATGTAAAACATCTTAAACTAAATGGTAGATTATTCCATAAAACAGGTGCTTGATAACTAAAAGAACGCTGACCATAAGAGACTAGTTGAACAGTTTTGGGCTTTAAAAGTAGTTTATCTGATGTACGTAATGTTCGGCCAGGTGTATAAAGTTCTAAAAGATCTGAGAGGTAAACAGGAGCTAAATTATTTAAACATTTAAAATTAAGTAATAAAATCTTAAAATCAATTCGATATTTAACAGGTAACCAGTGTAAATTATATAAAACAGGAGTTGTGTGGTCACATTTCTTAGTTAAAGTAACAAGTCTAGCCGCAGTATTCTGTACTTTTTGTAATTTATCTATAAGCTTTAAAGGTAAACCAACTAAAAGTGAATTAAAGTTATCTAATCGAGAAGTGACCAGAGAATTAACAAGTGACTTAGTGGCCTCTACAGTTACACATTTACGTATTTTACCTATATTTCTAATATTAAAATAGCACAATTTACAAATATTATTTACTTGAGCTCCCATAAGCATAAAACTATCAAAGATAGCGCCAATATTACGAGCAGAATAAGATGAAAATATATCACAATTACCAATTACAACAGGGGGGTTATCTTGTGCAGATTTACTTAATTGATGCCTTGATGGCCTAATAACAAATATTCGGTTTTATCATCATTCAATTTTAGAAAGTTCTTTGACATCTATTTTCTAATTTCACTAATACAGTTCACAAGTTGCAATTTTGATAAATTGAAAGAAGATGGACAATTAGGTGTAAATGAAATATATAATTGAGTATCATCGGCATACAAATGAAAGCTGAGACCATATTTTCTGACAATATCTCCTAATGGTGACGTATATTTCAAGTTTCGTCAAAATCGGATAAGAATTGTGACCTCTAGAGTGTCCACAAACAATTTGTGGGCGGACGTCCGAACGGACATGGGCGACGGCATAATACGTCCACATGAAAATGTGGGCGTATAAAAACCTCATAAGGCTGTTTAAAGGCTTGCCTTTAGAAAGTCAGCTCTTCAACTGTGGTCAAAGGGGAGACAACCCATTTTTTCCTCTTAATGGATAGATGAGCTGCACAAAATGTGTGCAAACTGGAAATTTTTAAAAACCTCATAAGGTTGTTTGAAAGGCTTGCCTACATGAGGCTGTCCTCCTTAGTCAAATTCCTCATATGGGGTCTCCCAACAAGGACCCTTCCTCAGATAGGTACACCCGTGGGTATGTGTGTGTGTGTGTGTGTGTGTGTGTGTGTGTGTGTGTGTGTGTGTGTGTGTGTCTGTGGTTCGCCTACAGGGCGCAATTCTTCATGGATTTTCTTCAAACTTGGTATACTTATTCCTTATACCCCAAGGAAGATCCCTATTGTTTTTGGTGCATGCCCGACCCCCCGGGGCAGAGCCACGCCCATTTCTAGTATTTGTTTGTTTGTCGTCTACAGGCCACATTTCTTAACTAATAATCTTGAAACTTTGCATACACATTCTTTGTACCCTAAGGAACATCCCTATCGTTTGGGGTGCATGCCCAACCCCCAGGGGCAGAGCCACGCCCATTTTCTTTTCGTGTGTCTTTGTGTCGCCTACAGGGCGCAATTCTTACTGGATTTTCTTCAAACTTGGTATACTTATTCCTTATACCCCAAGGAAGATCCCTATTGTTTTTGGTGCATGCCCGACCCCCAGGGGCAGAGCCACGCCCATTTCTAGTATTTGTTTGTTTGTCGTCTACAGGCCACATTTCTTAACTTATAATCTTGCATACACATTCTTTGTACCCTAAGGAACATCCCTATCGTTTGGGGTACATGCCCAACCCCCAGGGGCAGAGCCACGCCCATTTCCCATTTTCTTTTCGTGTGTCTTTGTGTCGCCTACAGGGCGCAATTCTTACTGGATTTTCTTCAAACTTGGTATACTTATTCCTTATACCCCAAGGAAGATCCCTATTGTTTTTGGTGCATGCCCGACCCCCAGGGGCAGAGCCACGCCCATTTCTAGTTTTAAAAAGTACCATATCAATCAAAGCAGGAATGTGGACGTATATTGCAGCGGTAGCGATGCTCTTGTTCATACTTGTATCCACATTTGAACGATTTCCCAGTTTTTATGCAGTTATCTGCTGCACTAATACATGTACACAGAAACCATCTTTTAGATTCATACTCTGCAAAGGTTTGGATATTGATCAGCAGATAATCAGCAGACAATTTACCAACCATATGTCATGTCACAGCAGGGCTGGGGCCATTACATTACCATTACTTTTGAAATGTAATCATTCCTTGAGATTAACATTAATCTGTAATAGTACTATCTAATTGTCTTTTAATTTAATTGATTGATTGGTTGAGTTATGAGATGTTAATTAACACTAATCTTTGATTACAATCTACATCTATTTGGAAATCAACTTTCTTTAAAGAGATAGAGAGAGAAATGTGGTTTAACGTCCACTCAACACAAACTAGATCAAATCGGGACTAACGCAATGTGTGGAAAGACGTTCACTCAGCATCTATGTCTCAACAGCAGATTATCGGAAAGGAAAACTTGGATGTTGAATAAATTGAATAAGGATCTAGCATATTTCAAGAAATCTAATCTTTATCTGTTCACATTTTTTTTTATATCTCTGTGACAGCAAAATTTATATTTTTTAAATTCAACAGGGGTAATCCTTGTCGCGGAACACTGAATATCGAAAATCCGTTAAAAATGCAATTAACAAGGTTTTCAAAGAATGGAGTGTAATTCCGGGACGGAAGATTGCTAAGC